CTTGGTTACCTGTATCTGCATCATAAAAGATGCAGGCTAAATGGCGTTAGTACATGAAATGTACGAGCATGCGAGGGGAAAACTAAACAAGACATAAGCTTGAACTGGAACTAAAGAAACCTACCTCGTCTCAACTCAACTCTACTTATTTCAATATAAAACAGTAATAAAGATGCAGTATAAAGAAAAACTTTAAAACATGTAGATAACAACTCAATGTATTGAAAAACACACAATAACTCAATTTGTATATGAAAATACAAGTAACTATGTGTATATAAGAATACAAAATATCTCTGTGGGAGTTTCTCTAACCGACAACCATTACTATGAGCTATGTGATGATACAACGTCTTGCCTAACGCTGCCAGGGCCGTCATATACCTTGTCGGAGGTATAGAACCTAACTACTAAGTGGATCCACTAGTCAATGCTAAAAGCATTAATGAATCATCTAAAAAGTATGACCCTTTTCTACCCATGTTGGCTACATGGTTTATGGAGACTTTGAATTATCTGAACTCAAATTCGTCCCCAAATCGATGCTCAATACTACTCTCAAAATGTAACTAGCTCATATGTTTAAAAACATAACTCTTTCTGTTGTTTGAGATAATTACTCAAAACTAACTAGCTCAAAAGCTCTCTTGGAAATCGTTGTTTCCTCTCTTGCTTAAATGTGAAAACATTTATTCTTTGGGAATACTTAGTTCCCATATAATCTTTTGAAAAAAATGAACTTCACTTTATATTCTTACTCAACTCAAAGCTCAAGTCTTAAAACAAGTTTAAAGCATTTGTAAAAGACTCTAAAAACTCTCTAGACTTTACTCTTAATTTTTCTTGAATTTGAATTTATGAATTCAAGGTTATGATTTGTGATAGGAAGGATATCGTGATGATTAAGAGTGTTTTTAGATAGTAAATCATGAGAAACGGTAAAAAAAAACACTGCCTGGGAGCAAGTCCGCGACGTGGAGATGCATTTTAATATTTGGTCGCGAAATAAATTTTGAGACAGTGGGGTCCGCGATCTCTCCACAATGCGGAGAGGAAATTTGACTCGGAAGGAACAGGTCGGCGTTGCGGACCTGGTACTCGTTTTCTGTCCGACTTTTTCTTCCTTGTTTTCTAACCCCAATTCGCCTATATTCTATTCTTTTTTCTCAATTTCTCTTTAGATTCAGATACCCAACATATGTACACAAGAATCTACTATAAACGACTCTAAAATCGACACGATTTCTTCAAGAACTCAACAATCCCATCCTAACTCAAGAACGAAAGCCAATTTCAAGAACACAATTCAAGATCATCAAACTTTCAACTTTCTAGAACGAAATTACGCTAAAATTAACATGATTGGCGCGTGGGTGAACGAACCCAACGCTATGTGAACTCACATACCTCTTTAGGGATCAACCCTTGGCGAAACGACCTTCGATTCCGCAAGAAATCTCCAAGAACGCCTTAACTTTTCTCTTTTTCTCCTCTTCTTGAACTATTCTCAAACCCTAGGTGTTAATTTTAGATTGTGTAAACTGAACCCAATCAGTTTAGACCCCTAATTAATTACTAAAAATGGAATAAATCTGATAGGTTAAGGAAAAGACCAAAACACCCCTCTTAAATTCAGGTAACTTTCCTTAAATGGACAGCCCGACTTCAAACGGGCATATCTCCCTCATACGAGCTCGAAATTTACCAAACTCGGTGGTGTTTGAAATAGGATTTCAAGATCTTTCATTTGATACCTTGTAGCCCACCTAAATCATTATGTACGAAGAGTTATGGTTGTTTGAAATTTACCCAAAACTCATACTTAACATATAATTTGCTATTTCCAAATTTGATTCTTTCTATTTTTAGCTCTTTCAAATAGCGAGGTGTTACATATGCTTTAAGTCTTGTGTTATAACATTAAATTATAATTGATTAGATTAATTAATTTAATTAAAGTAGAAGACAAAACAATGTATGAAACATTATAAATTAGAAATAATGTTATGGCATTGTATTTACTTTTCTCCTTCAATTTACTTAATGTATTTAAATCTTCAAAAAATAAATTAGTTACATCATTTCAAAAAAAAAATCGTTACTTCTATTAATGTATGATGAGTTTGATAATACTTGAATAATGTATGCAATATGTTCATATTGTCAATTGTCTAAATTCAAATTAATTTAAATAAAGATTGCTAAAAAAATGTTACTTTGAATGAAAGATTTTAGTTGTGTTACTTTATCGTCTATCCAATATATTGTTGCGAACACATACATATATTGTTCATTTTACCCTTTTGTTTTATTTTAGTTTTCTACGATTTGTATGAATGAGGTTAACAACTTAATTTTCAAATAAAAATGAGAGTTCCATTTATATTTGTCCGACACTAATCCTAATAATTTTCTTAAATATGAGCAATCTATATTGATGATAGTTTTTTGCAGTGTTAAAACTCAAATGGTTGGTGTGATGACAATTTTGCTTTTAAACATTTTGGTTGTAATATTATAAGAATTGAGTAATTAGGCTTCATTTTGTTTAGATTTTAGTAATATAAATCAGCAAGATTATTCAATATTCTACTTGAAGTATATTGTTCAAGAGTAATGTTATAGCGTCTTTTGCAATTGTTTTATATTGTTGCAACTAGGGCTGTTCAAAACCGAACCGAAACCGATAACCCGAACCAAAAAAAAATATTATTTTATCCGTAATGGGTTATTGGTTTAGCGGTTTTGATAATGATTTTGATTTTTTTTGTTATTGGGTTATCGGTTCTTAACGATTTTAGGTTTTTTCTTAACGGGTTAACCGATAACCCGATAGTAAATTAAATAATTATATTTATACCATTTTGTATATAAAGTCCTTGACTTCGAGATGTTTCCTACTTTTATTTCACTGAATGTTATAAGCACGAAGATTAATTATTTTAAATGTATATACTTCCATGCATATTGTCAGAGAGTAATTTCTTTAATACTTTGTTAATTATTTTATTATGTTAGAAATTTAATTTATTATCTACTTGCATATTGCAATTTGGTGTAGAAGTTTTTAGATTAAATGACTTTTTAATTGTCTTTAAACTGAAAGAGTACATATTTGCTTAAGAAAAAGTGCAAATGAAATTCAAATAAAAATATCAATTTATCAATTTTTTGTTCTCCATATATAGTTTTAATTGACAGGATGTTAGGTATCCGAACAACCTCTCTTTGTAAAGAAAGAAATCTTCTTTATCTTTGTTATGACAGATGTTATAGACTTAGACTTTGATCTTCATCTTCAATTATTATTAGATACAATTTATAATTAACCAGAGGTCTCGGGCTCGAGCCCTGGGTATGGAGAAAATCTTGTTGGGAGCGCCACCCCCGAATGGGTCCTGCAGAGCGCGATCCGGATTTAGTTGGAGCTCCAATATGGGCTCCGGACACCGGGTGGGAAATCAAGAAGAAAAAAACTTGCTATAAATGGGCATACCACTTATACGTTATTATATATTAATAACTTAGCGATAAATTCTTCTTTCTTTAGGTCATTTTTGGAAATGCTTAAAGTAAAAAATGATACTCCCTCCATTGCAAAAAGAATGACCTCCTTTCCTTTTTAGTCTGTTTCAAAAAGAACGACCTCATTTCCTTTTTAGTCTGTTTAAAAAAGAATGACCTCTTTCTTTTTTTGGTTACATTTTACTTTCAGTTTTTCACGTGGCATGTTTAAGGCCACAAGATTAAAGGGCAATTTTGTACATTTGAAATAACTTTAATTTAGAACCACAAGATTCAAAAGTCTTCTTTATTTTCTTAAACTTCGTCCCAAGTCAAACCAGGTCATTCTTTGTGAAACGGAGGGAGTATTAATGTAAAAAAATCATGTTACAAATCAATAACATAATAAGTTGATACAAAAAAACACCAACAACTAGAGAGATATCAATATCTACAATAAAAAATTTGATCATGATAAAGAAATTGAAACGTCGAAGTGAAACATATACACTTAAAGATAACATCTATAAGAAAGTACTACGTACAATATAATTATATCACATATTTACACCTAATAATATAACTAATGAGCTCATTTTATACCATGCATATCTAACTAAATTATATGGATACACTTTTCAAGTTTAGATGACATCGAATAATCAACTCTTTTTTTTTACTATTCTTTAAATTGAGCATGTAAGTCTTTTCACATAAAATTTTATATTTATCATTATACATATATTTTAATATTATCTTTATATATATATATACACACTAATTTACACCGGACATAACACTTGTTAGAGATATGTTTTGATTATCTATATTGTTATAAAAAAATATTACCAATTAAATTCGGATACACGTGTGTGGCACGTGACTAGAAACAAGTAGAAATATATATTTGAAAGTGTTAGTGAAAACTTACAAGATAACAAAAATACAAGATTACAATTGAAAATAAATATGAAGAAAATAAATCTCTTCAGGCTGAGGCGCGGATATCTCGCTCTCTTTAAGGAGATTTAAGCCCACTACAGCAAATCTTTTCACCGATCCAGCAGTAGTCCTTCTTGACTTGTCCCCTCCAGGATACAACAGTCTAATCACAAAATATAACTCAACAACTCTGGACAAGAGTTGAGTCAAAAGCTCCACAAAAGAAACACCTCCCTTCAACTAATAAGAACTCTCTTTTTGACAAACCTTATGCACTCTATATTTTCTTGTTGTATTGTGTGTAACAAACCAAATGAAGATCACCACTATTTATACTAGAATAAGTCTTCCTAGCAATGAATAGGAAGATAATGGTGTAGTAAATAGTGAAAATAATGATTTTAGGAGTTACATAGATTACAAGAATAATTGAGGAGTAAAGAGTAAGAAGTAATGGGATAAAAAAGCTTACAGCCACCAACGGCTGAACCTGCTGCAATTGCACCAAGGAATTAGTAACATATGCAATTACTCTATGGAGTAATGCACCAACTTAATGGTCCAAACGGCAGCAAAAGAATTTCCATTAACTCCCACCATACTACAACAAATGAAAGTCAACCAATGCATATTCTAATGCAATAATGAATAGAGGGAGTAATGACTGACTTAGGGGCAAACGATCAATGCTAAAATGTAACATTCTTATAATATTAAAATGCCCCTACACTAAACAGAAAGAAAATATTAAGAAATAACAGATGTTTTGACAGGTCATAGAAGGTGGAAAACTGAATTTGCTTGTTGCTGCATCAATCCTCTTTCTGAAATTTTGAATGGGATTGAGTTAAAGCTTGGTTAATTCAGCTCTTATCTTGTTTAGCTGCACCACAACCTCTCTCATGTTTATCCTTTCCTCTGGCAACTCTTTCAAACACAGGAATGCAACATTTATTATCAAAACCAGCAATTGTTTGATTTCGCTTTGGTTTTCATCTGTTGTAAAGCCAATGTCGCTAACAAGGTCAGCATCCAGAATGTCCAGTACAGCATCAGGAAAGGAGAGAGATGTCCATTTATGCAAGCTTAAATCTCCGCTAAACAAGTCATCCGTAGGCTTCTTTCTTGTGAATGTCTCAAGCAACAAAATCCCAAAGCTATAAACATCACTGCTAGTGGAAATTTGCCCGTCTAAACCATATTCTGTTTCAACAAATTCCCAGTTAAAATGTGTAGTTATCCATGTTACAGTATAAAGTTATGGTAGACATAAAGGAAAAAAGTAACCAACATAGGACACCTTCATTTCAAGACATGATTATCATACCTGGAGCAATGTAACCAATAGTTCCGAGAGTCTTGGTTTGAGCCATGTTTCCTTCTTGTGCCAACATTTTTGCAATTCCAAAATCTGCTACATGAGCAGTCAGATCCTGATCAAGAAGAACATTACCTGGCTTCAGATCACAGTGCACAATGGGCACTGTATAATCATGATGAAGATACTCCATGGCAAGTGCTACATCGATCATTATATTGAGTCTTTCAACCAGGCTCAAGCAATTTTCATCAGAGTATAATCTTTTGTCTAAGCTTCCATTAGGCATGTACTCCAGCACAATTGCTGTGAAATCCAAATTTGAACAAGTCGACACTATCTTGACCAAGTTTCTGTGTCTTACGTTGCTCAAAATTTCACATTCTGAATCAAAATTTCTTAAATCCCGTTGCCATTGCATATCAAAAACTTTGATTGCAAAGACAGCACCATCAGAAAATGTACCTTGGTAGACTGTACCAGAACTTCCACTTCCTACTAGCTTGGACTGACTGAAATTTTCTGTAGCTTGGAGAAGCTCATAATAAGTGATTTTCTGATGTGCAATTCTAGGAGGGTAATCCGATTCATTGTTTCCAATCACATGTTTTTTTCTTGACCAAATCATCCATGTGAAAAACAATGCGACCAATATCAGAAATGTTACAGCAACAGGTACTGCTGTTCTAAGAATAATGGACTTTTTCCTTGTTGTCTTTCTACCTTGAGCTGGACATATAGGAATATATAAGTCAATTGCTCCACAAAGTCTTGGATTTCCCATCAAGAACCGGTAATTAACATTTGCAAACACCCCTTTCTTTGGAACTTCTCCTTGCAAGTTGTTGAAAGAAACATTGAGATACTTGAGATCTCGCAATAGCTCAAGAGATTTGGGAATCACACCTGATAGAGCATTAGTAGACAAATCCAGACCCTCAAGAACTATTAGATCGCTAAATGTGTCCGGTATGGGACCTTGGAATGCATTTCTTGACATATCTAGTGAAACTAGATATTGAAGGGACCCTATGGAATTGGGTATTTCACCAAAAAACCTATTGAAAGAGAGGTCCATGATGCTCATTGCTTTCAGAGTTCCCACATCAGAAGGGAAGAAACCATGCAGCAGGTTTCTCGATATGTTCAGACCATCAAGCTTTACTAATCTCCAGAAACTTGAAGGTAACTTTGAGCTGAAATTGTTGGCAGCAATTGACATTACTCTTAATTCAGTCAGATTTCCGATACACGAGGGTATTTCTCCTGACAGTCTGTTTTCTCCCAAATGCAGTAGACCTAATCTTCCTATGCTGCACAGTTCAGCTGGAAATGTCCCTTCTAATTTATTTCTAGTAAGATACAGCCTTTCCAGGTTTTGCAGGCCAACAAACGAGGGGGGCACATTGCCAACAATGTTATTACTTGCTAATCCCAGGAAAATCAAGCCACTTAAGTTTCCAATGTTTGTTGGCATACTGCCTCTAATTCCACAGTTTGCTGCATCAAGGACCCTGATATTGCTTGATAAATTTCCTATTGATTCTGGAAAAATTCCATTCAAAGGATTAGATTCAAGAATCAGGTACACCAGATTCCTGCTGGTTACCAATGAATTCAGGAAGTCAAGTTGTGTGGCTCCAGGCTTGTTTTCCAACAGATTATTTTGCAGATTTAGAGTTATAAGGTTCACCAGGTTACCTAACATCATGGGAATCGGTCCAGTAAAACTGTTGTTTGCAACTTCAAGATTTTCAAAGCTTTGAAGCATTGCATATTGCAGAGGGTAGATCTCCAAAGGAAAATCTCCTGCAAGTTAGGTAGCCAAGTACCAAGATCATATGGAAGATGCCCATTTAAGTAATTATGCCTGGCTTTGAGGATTTCAAGAGACGAAATATTGAATAAGCTGGATGGAATGGCACCAGAAATTCGATTATATTCAAATTCAAACCAGACTAGTTCATGCAACTTACCAAACTCATTTGGAATATTTCCTTGCACATCATTTTCAGTGAAGAAGAGATGAGTAATCTTTGATGCATTTGATAAAGAAACCGGGATTTTCCCCGTGATCCTGTTGCTGTCCAGAAAAAGATGTTCAAGGATAGGAAAACAATTACCCAAATCACTTGGAAGTTCCCCTGATAAGGCATTTATCGAGAGATCCACAATTTGCAATCTTGAAATATTGAAAATTGAAGCAGGTATCGCTCCAGTGAAATCATTGCCACGAAAGGAAAGGAGCCTCAAATTGGTAAGATCACCAATTTCATCAGGTATTTCACCTTCCAAATCATTTTCATGCAGATAAAAATATTCCAGCTTTGATAAGTTTCCTAATAAAGGTAGAATCTTTCCTGTCAGATTATTGTCGTTGAGACGCAAAATTCTAAGTTGACTTAACAGGCCAAGTTCTTGAGGTATGCTTCCTTTGATCATGTTATCTGATAAATGAAGTTCTTGCAGTACACGACAACGGCTTATATTCAGAGGAATAGTTCCATCAAGAGAATTCCCAGTCACATTAAAAAGTCTCAGTTGTTGCAAGAAGCCCAACTCACTTGGTAAATTGCCATTCAAATCATTGCTACTAAGGTCAAGAAGAGCAAGTTGAGTCAAGTTGGCAATTTCTGAAGAAACTCTGCCTTGAATGGCCAAATTAGGAAGTTGCAAAGCTACAACTCTCTGGTGCAAGCATGAAACTCCATACCAGCTGCAGAAGTGTGTGTCTGAGCTCCAATTTCTGGACAAAATGTGGTGAGGTTCCAATCGAAGGCTCGATTTAAATGCCATCAAAGCAGCATAGTCACTGATGAAGTTGGTATGTTTAGCTAAACAAAGTGAATAAAAGAAGAACAAAAGTGAAAGAAACTCAATCAGAATGTTCATGATTAGTGATTTGGGATTCTTACTCTCACAAAGAGTGTTTAGTAGTAGAAATTGTTTTGATCAATCTGTAGCATACTAGGCTAGTGGTGGTTGGAAGAATTTAATTCTGTTTACTTTTCTTAAATGGAAGAATACAAATTCACTATTGGACTTACTCGACCACAAAAGCTAGTTTATGAAGTTAAAATTATTCATGACTTCCCTACACACGCAGAACTAAACATCTGGAGTGCTAAATACTAGTAGATTACTAGAATTTTCAGTCTTTAAAGCAGGATTATTATTGTAAACTTAAGCTTTGATAGTGTTTATTTGCCCTGTCCACTATATTTTATTTTAGTAGAAAGGCATATCAATATTAATGTATGTCGTATTTACCAACAAATTGCAAAAGTAAAGAGACAAGCGAAGGTTAAATAAAGTTTTATGGATACATACTAAGCTTCAGAAACTTTTGTGCATGTTTTGTCCAGTTGGAATATTGGCGCGTCGAAAACTTGTTTTATTTTTATTTATTTAAAAAATGGTGAATATAAGCTGCATATTTCACACACAAATAGATAATCACCTGGCTGTTTCAATTTTTTAAAATTGGTGAATAAAACGACTTGACACGGGTCTAAAAGAAAAAAAGAATTTCACAATTTGTGACGTAATTTTTGAAAATTAACATTCGTGTTAATTTAGAACAAATTAAAAAGAAAATTACGCCACACGTCTATATCATGGAAAAAAGAGGTAAACGGATTGGAAAATCAAGATTTGACCTGTTAACTACTTCTTGACTATGACTCTGATTTAGATTGAATTAATTATATTCAAGCTGAATGATTCTGAAAAGTTCAAACAAATACAACCATTGCAAAAAAATTGACAGCACAAAAGATTAAAATGATACCATGTAGTTATCTGCTCCAATCAGTTATCCCTCTTCTTTTCTTTTGTTGGGAATTATACCTGTACTGTTTTTGTTTTGGATTAAAAGCACAATCAAAAGTATTTGCAAGTATCTTACAAAACCTGAAACATAAACCTTAAATCCTAAACCCTATACCCCCTCCTACTAATTGTTTGAAGTTTTTTTCCACATATACATAATAATACACCTATTCCATTTAGATTGTGAATCACTAGACTGGTACAATGAGGCAACTATATCAGTAGTCATATTTATTTTGTATACCTGATTTACAGAAATGGCATGGACATGCACACGCTAATATTACAAGGTTGGATCAGCCGACTTTCGTATAAAGGAAACTTAATGAACAATTTTATGTACTAGCATACGTACACAACTCTCACTCCTCGAAAAACCTGCTGTTTATTCCTGTTCTATATAATTGCAAACCAGAAGATGTCGAAACAGTAATGTTGGTGTTTGCAGGTGCAAAAAGGACATCACCTTCATGGATAATCTCCTTTAATGATGAGGTTAATGTTCCCTCTCCCTCCACGACCATAAAAATGGATGGACCGGGAATAGCAGGAAATTCAGCAGTTGATTGTTCGGGAAGAATACAGCGATCAACTTCAAATTCATCAAAAGGAGGAATGTACCTCATAACATGAGGATTTACTGCAGTGCCCAGCAGAATTTCAGGAAAACCCTGCAACAAGAACAGATGTAATTTAGATATAAACAGAGACCTGATATCATGTTAAGTGCACTTAAAGGAAATCTTGCCAAATATTAGCCTCTGCCTGCACAGCCCAACAAAACTACTAATGGGTTATAGAAGATGTTCTCATGCATTTTCTCCTTTTTTACGGTGGTAGTTCGGACCAGGTTACATTCTGATGATTGTTGACCAAGTTCCAGGAGCATTACTAGTTTAGGAATGTACACATCAATTAAACAGACAAGTAACTTAAAATATTCTTGATGGAAATTTGACCCTTGAAAGAAGCTCAATTTAACAATCATAATCCTAAATGTCCTAACATTTTTTTGTCAATAACTTGATGTCAGAGTAATGCAACTCTTTCATAGTCTATTCAACCACCAATTTTTTGAAGCACATATCAAGGTTGCTGTTATATTCAGATTCCAATCATGAAATTTAATTTTGAAGAAGGGAAAAGGTTCACATTCGTCTTTGTACTATTCGAAATAGTTCAATATGCCTTCCTTTTCACTTTTGGTCCATTCATACCCTTGTCATTAACAAATCGTCTCATATTTGCCTTTGCCAGTTGCCATTAGGGAGCTCCAGGTGTAAAATCAATGTGGAGACATGTCCAAATATTTTTGAGAAAAAAGGTCCAATTTTACCCTTGGACTTTAGATTATGGATTTTAAAAAAAGCTTCACTAGGTGTCAAGGTTAAAAGAGAACTTTTTCCTGACGGCATGGATAATGTTAGACCAAAAGTCAAATGGAGGGCAAACTTGCTCAATTTAAAATAGGGATAAGGGTCTGAAAAATATCCCAACTTTGGTCGGATTTGCTGTTGCGATACTAAACTTTCATGAGGACCTATTACCTCCCTAGACTATTTAATACCGTATTTTTTACCCCATGAACTATTTAATAGTGT